TTCTTCCCTTTTTTGTGCACTACTACCCATTTTTACATAAAAATATCAATTTTAGCATTTAAATATTTATTTGAAGATAACCCATCCAGAATTATATGTAGTACTCAGATAAAACCAGAAATAAAATAATAAAAAAGCTGTATACAAGATCTCGTAAAACAATAAATGAAATAAAAGACGTTCATATTAATCGTATTCTTAAATAAATCGTATAAAGACATACTCATGTTAACATTAGGAAATTTCAGCATATGAAAAACACATCCAATTTGGTAATGAAATACTTTTGTATTTATAAATCTATTTTTAGAATAGCACGTACCTACCAAAAACAGGTATTTGGTAGTATACATATCTATTACATATTGTAATGTGTATGAATGATAAAAAAAATCAGGAGTCCGTATGAACCGTTTAAAATATATAAAATGTATATATCAAGAACGCTGGAGCTCTACGGTTTAATTGCAAAGTTGCCAAACTATCAGAGCTTACTTAAACCGATATTCCTATGGTTCCAATATACAGTGAAAAAGATCTGAACGACCCCTATAATATATACACGTGAACTAAGCGAAATACATTTATGATACAGGGGTACTTATGAGCTCCAAAATTTTATTAAGAATTATGAAACTATACATCTTAACGAATCGACAGAGCCAATATTATGGAATGGTCATGTGAGCTCCGTATATCGGTGTCCACTTGACCACGGAGCTCACTTGAACCTGAATTTTAACATGGGCGGAGTTCACTTTATGCCGTAAATATATATATATATATATATATATATATATATATATATATATATATATATATATATATATAGTAGTCGATTGGGTAATTTATACCAGGTGTTTGCAATGATCATATCGTTTTCTTTACAAAGCTCATACAATCTCTGTTCTCGATCGTTAGGTTGTCGTAGACTATAGGGACCTACAGTCTGACTTCGTCGACCTTCTTCAATTTTTGCATTTAAGGCGCCTATAATAATAAAATTTGGTGTTTGTTAAGTTTCTGTAAGATGTCTTGGATCTGATCATACAACTTTTTGACTTCATCGTCAAATTTTTTATCTGCAGTCGGGACATAGATTTGAAGTACGTTAGTTTTAAATGGTTGAGTATTTATTTGGAGTCATATTATTCTATCCGATACTGGTACGAAATTGGACACATATTTACTCAGTTCTGATGTAACTAATATACACACACCATTTTTGTGATGCGGGTCTTCTGTGCTGTTAGAGGATTAATATAATACACTTCCGTCTTTTTTACATGATCCTGACTCTAGTCATCTCATTTCGCTGATTCCAAGTAGGTCTATTTTCATTCTTTTTATTTCTTGAATTGCGTTGTCAAGTTTTCCAGCCGCAAATAGACTTCTAACATTCCATGTGCACAATTCTATGGTGATTTACCTGGGGGTGCTCTATGAGCCGTCAATGCAGTGGTTCCCCTTTGCCTTTTGCACTCTTATGCCGTTGACTATTATTTGTTGATTTATCCGCCTTTGGGCCGATTTCTCAACTCCAGGACAAAAGAATGCCCTACCACTCACCAACTTATCCGCGTTGGTCAGTAAGTGGGGATTTGCTTATACCGGCAATTACTTGGACGTCAGAGCCTCATTTGTTATCTACCACATCTTATAGCTACTGTTTTTTATATACAGTCTTTTTCCAGTTGAATTCGTAATTATAAAAGTTTTAACTCCATATAACAGGACAGCGAGTATGTAGTTCTAATTTCTATTTCCAGTTATAATACTGCTTTTATCGGCGCTTCTAGCCGTCACAGTGCGTTGTTTTATTTCAAAGCGTCGGTCTGGTTGTTAATTTAGCTCCCATCCCAGATAGTTGATAGATTATTTCGTTTTTAATCTTATTTGTTCTTAAAATCATAATTTTTGTGTTATAAATTTTTGTAAATCTTAATTTTTTTGTTTTCAGAGCTATTCCATACTTCTCGTGGTACTGCGTAGTGCAATCAATAAAAGTTTGCTTTTATGTTGTCCACATAGAGTGTGTAACGATAAGATTACCAAAGAAAATTGAAGTAATATTGTAAAAATAATACTTCAATCAACCATTGGAGCTTATCGTCTATTCCTTGCCTAGCTCAGTATCTCAAGGGTTAGTTCGTCTTGTCTTAAAATAGGGATTGAACCTGAGTTCTCAGCTGATAGCAAATAAAACAAACATTTAACCAAACATATTTATTTAAAAGAATAAAATAAAAACACAATAATTAACCCTGCCAAAGCTTAGCAATTGATGTAATACTTATTGCTTTGTTTGATGGGCTACTTGTGTGTCCTATCTGCTAGGTCCTCCAATGGAATGTTGTAATATCGAAGAGCTGCAGTCATCCGTGGTTGTATTTGCTGATGTGGTCAATAATTCCAGTAAATCCAATACGGCTGTCAATAAGCCCAATAAAATATAGATATTTCCAATAAACCCAATAAAGCTTCGAATATTCCCAATACAGCTTTGAATATTACCAATAAACTAAAACACAAAAGGAATAGGAGCATTAGAGACACATCAAGAGGAGTTTAACTTCCTTGCCATCTTACAAAGTTACAATTACACAAATAGCGTATGGTAAGGATAAAATGAAATATGATTGTTATTATGATTGTTAGGAACTTTACGTATTAAATGTTAGGATTACTTTACGGAATAGACGAAGGCATCCTTCTAAATGGTGAAAGAGTAAACAATGTTAGATATGCCGACGACAACATGGTGATAGCAGATATTTTAGAGGGACTTCAGAGGCTAATGGACAGAATAAACGAGTACAGTCAACAGTACGGACTAAACATTAATACCCACAAAATGAAACAAATGATTATCAGCAAGGAGAATATAAACGAGGCTCATCTATACATTAGTGGGACGCAGATAGAGCGAGTAAAATAGTATTGTTACCTAAGAACTATTATTAACGAACAGTGGAGCAATTTACAGGAAATAAACTGCCGCATAGGAAAGGCAAGAACGGTCTTTAACAAAATGAGCGCCATCTTCAAAAGTCACAACGTATCCCTTGATACAAAAATGAGACATTTGAGATGCTATGTTTTCTCTGTGTTGTTGTACGGGGCGAAGGCATGGACGCTTACAGACACCACTATTAAAAAACTTGAAGCATTTGAGATGTGGCTTTACAGAAGAATGCTGAGAATATCATGGACAGCAAGGATCACGAACAAGGAAGTTCTAGGAAAAATGAAGAAGGAACCAGAGATTGTGTTTACGATCAAACGCATAAAATTGCAATATCTGGGACACGTTATGAGAAATCAGCACCGTTACTCTCTGCTACAGTCTATATTGCAAGGTTAAGTCAAAGGTAAGCGAGGACCCGGTAGAAGGAGAATATCATGTCTGCGGAATTTAAGAACATGGTTTAAGAAACCCTCAATGGAGCTGTTTCGAGCCGCAGCGAGTAAGGTTATGATTGCCAATATGATTTCCAAAATCCGAAACGGATAGGAACCAGAAGAAGAAGATGATTGTAATATCGAGAAGTAAGAAGTGTAATATCGTCACAGTTTACATCTCGACATTTTTCTACTTGTTTTTTTATATATTCCAACTTTATAGAAAACAATAATACTTAAAAATTTTCTTAATGAGAAGATTAAAACATATTTATTGTGCACTGCAGGTAAAGCTTTCAAAGATAAATTTATAGAAAATAGGTAAAGAAATAATAATAAGACTTACTCACAATCAATTTAATTTAACAATCTGACGACCGGTTTCGCTTTCTATAATTTGCAAAGCATCTTCAGGTCGAGATACAAAGTTAAACTAATGATGCCGGTACTCTATTAATTGATGGATGGTAGGTCATGGTTGCAAAAATCATGTATTGTTGATTGGAGAACTTTAATGAGCTATTGCAGTTGTTTTGACAATAAACGGGAAGTTCTTGAGGAGAACAGATTTGATCCAATGAATTAGAGATAGGTATATTGTTGTTGTTTGTCAGATGAAAGTGATGTTCTTTACTATTGTATTAATTAAATTATTTACACTTATAACAGAGATATATTTTTTGGAATGTGTGTTATTTATTGAGTATTTATGTAATGAAGGAGACAGTTTTATGACAATGAATAAGAGTAGCTGTACCGATTGTGTGGTTGTGCAATTTTTGACTTGCAATTATCAAGTCTATTGGCAAAATTATTAAAGTATTGTAAAGTCAACTATGTAAAAAGGTATATAAAAAGTATATAAAAATTATTATAACTTAAGAATGATTAGGGACAAATTAAACACACATTAACAGGAAACAGAAACACTAAATGACGGGACAAACATTGAATTTAAAACTAAAACTTGGGGATGGAAGAAACTGTTAGCACTACATCTCACTTGTTGGAAGAAAATGTATACATTTTAATTCATTGGATCAAATCTGTTCTCCTCAAGAACTTCCCGTTTATTGTCAAAACAACTGCAATAGCTCATTAAAGTTCTCCAATCAACAATACATGATTTTTGCAACCATGACCTACCATCCATCAATTAATAGAGTACCGGCATCATTAGTTTAACTTTGTATCTCGACCTGAAGATGCTTTGCAAATTATAGAAAGCGAAACCGGTCGTCAGATTGTTAAATTAAATTGATTGTGAGTAAGTCTTATTATTATTTCTTTACCTATTTGATATGGACTCACACAAGCAACACATTCATGATATAAATTTATAGATCTATTTGCAACAATACTATACAAATTTTTATATTTTGACTAAATAAAAAAAATTACATACTACTTTATTAAGTAATATAATAATCAAATATTTATTTAAATAATAATCTAATCTTTTCAAATATGATTAGGAGATTATGACGTTTTTGTATTGTCCCGAATGCTTACTTGATATTGCACAACAAATGTTTGAAACAAGTCGTTTCTATGATTACCTTGCAGTTTTATATGTGTAATACGTAGGAAAATATATAGTCTGGTACAGTTACCTATGTATATTTCTCCCGTGTGATTATTGAAGTGTTTTTTTATTTATTTGTGGTATATTTGACTATTAATTGAATACTATTAGTCCACTGACAACAATTTCCATTAGGAATTCTTTAAAATTTCATTGATTGACTTGAAGGAGTTGTAGACAGGAGGAGGATGAAGGATGTAGTTGAAGGATTGGCAAGAGTTGTAAAATAACTCATAAAACATGGGTGGTTATATAGTGCTGATATGTGTTAGAGTTGAATGCCAGTCTTCCTCAGCAGTGAAGAGGTTAATTAATGCCATGTACTGGATGGTCCTTAAGTAATTATAAAAAAATGAACAGTAGATTTAAGGCTTTAAAATATTACGATTTAAGCCAATCTGCTTTTATAAGATGTTGATTTTAAAAAAGATACAGGGTGTTAAAGTAGAAATTTAAAATTTGATTTTTTGGTATAACTTTTACGTTTTTAAATATTTAAGAATAATAATTTCATGCTTTTATAGAGTGCAACAAATATACCATATATGTGATATAATTTTGCACTTATCTTTTTTGCTCTTAAAAAAGTTAACGGTATGTGTATTAAAAATATTAAAGATAGATTATTTTTTCAAAAAACAAAAGGTATAATTGTTAATCACTTCAGAACTTAAGAGTTTTCGAAATAATTGCATGTTACAAATCATCTGCATAATTCTGATTTTAATAATTACTCCAGGCAATGAAGGAAAAATGAACAAAAATAACAATACTTTTAAATTTTCTTATGAAATACCTTTAACCAAAGTTAATATTTAACGTAATATTAAAGAAAATAAATATATCTGTAGGATAATTAATAATAAGAGTTTACAAAATAATAGGATAATAGGATTTTACATAAAACATTTTACATTTTATATTAAATTAGTCATAATCAAAATATTTTATTTACAAACTTCTTCTTCTTCTTCTACTTTTTGTAGATCTTTCGATCTGTTTAATTCTGAAGCTGCCTCTGGTTAATTTCTTGGGAGGTAGATTGCCAACTATCCCTCCATCTTTTAGGTGGTCTTCCGGGGGGTCTTGAACCGGGCGGATTGTTTTCTAGGGCAATTTTTGGGAGTCTATTCTCATCCATTCGTCTTACATGGTTGTACCACATCCTCTTGCGCTGCCTTCCCCATCTTACAATATCTTGAATTTTGCACTGCTCTCTAATGTTTGTATTTCTCACTCTGTCTCTTCTTGTTTTCCCCATTATTGTTCTTAGGGTTTTCATTTCGGCAACCCTTAGCATCTGTTTCGTTTTGTTGGTATCTTCGCGCACTTCTATGCCATATGTCATGATCGGTCGTATGCAAGTCTTATAGATACTAATTTTACTATCTGTGCGCATATACGGATTTGACCAGACTATCTCCCGCAGACATCCTGACAGTGCAGATGCTTTGTTGATCTGACTCCTCAGGTCCTTTACTGGGTCGTGGGTGCTTGATATATCTATGCCCAGATATCTGAATTGCATCACCTGTTCTATGGGGTTGTCCTCAACCACTAACTTACGTCTGAGCGGATCTTTTGCTATTGTCATACATTTAGTTTTGTTGGTAGAGATGTTCATATTTAGTAGTCGGCTTGTTTGAAAGAACTGAAAGAGCTGCCTTTGGAGATCATCTTCTGATTCGGCAATAATTGCTGCATCGTCTGAGTAACACACCATACCAATTCTTTTGTTGCCCATTCTATATCCGAGATTAAGAGATTTACTTTGTTGATAATTTTGCCCATGAGAAGATTAAACAAGAAGGGGCTTAAACTGTCGCCTTGTCTAATTGCTCCCGGTGTTGGAATATTTTCAGTGAATTCGTCTCCTGCTCTAACTTTGGTTACGTTGTTGTTATTTAGGTTATGGAGTATCTTTGTTATACTGGTCGGTGTTTCATTTTCTATTAATATATTTAGAATGTCTTCCAGGCGAACTCTGTCAAATGCCTTCGTCAAATCAATGAAGCAAATATACGCTTGCATGCCGAACTCTATAGCTTTTTCTTTTATTTGTTTTATTATAAATACTGCGTCTGTTATAGACCGCCCTTTTGTAAAACCTTGTTGTTCTTCAGCATTAGTGATTTGCTTTTCCAATTTGTCCTTGAGAATACCCGTGAAAAGTCATTGTTGTATTTAAGAGGGTTATTCCTCTATAGTTTTGTGGGCAGATTTTTTGTCCCTTTTTAAATATGGGGATTGTGATACTATTATGCCATTCCTCTGGTGTTTCTGTTTTGTTTAATATTTTGTTAAATAGTTGTGCCAGTTTACTTGCAAGTTCCGGGCCTCCATATTTTAAAAGTTCATTAGGTATACCATCCGTTCCCGGTGATTTTCTCTTTTTTAGCTTTTTGATCTTTGCTTCTACTTCTTCGTCATTGATTGTAGCACTCACATCTGTTTCGCCTTCGTTTCTTCAGCATCATATAGCTCTTTAAAATGCTGTTGCCATGTCTCTATAGGTACTCCTTTGGTCTGCACGAACTCGTTAACTGGTTTTTTCCTGTTGCGGAGCATTTTCCATACTTTCTTTTGGGTTATTTACAAACAAAATTAAAAAATAGTTAAACTAAATAATATTAATTTTTTGTCAAAGTAAGTGTTTGATATGTCCATCATTTTCTTTAATGCATTTATCAATAAGTTCCATAAAAGATCGTCGCATATTAAATAACATCATTGGTCCAAAGAAACTGTTGTAGTAATATTTCTTTTCAAAGTTGGTTGCGAATGTTTATGGTATTCTTATAGAGACGTTATTTCAATGCGTCCCATACACCAAAATCGAGCGGATTAAATTCTGGGCTACGTGGTGGCAAAGCAAAATAACTACCAGGACCAATCCATCGTTAAGGAAAGTTGCATACCTACACAGAAAGCCTACCCACACAGCAAATCATTACTCCTGATCAAGAAGATTGTTCGTGTTGACGATGATTCTTAATTAAGTACCTACACGACGCACATACGTCGATTTAATGGATTTACGCGGCCAAAATTATTTTACAGCATAGTTCTACTCAAAATGGTACAAATTAACGGAAATATTGGTTTTTTAAATATTGGCATCTACTTTTCATGGAAAAAATCAAGATCAAATTTTAAAATAACCTAAAAAAATAGTTTTTGTTTTACCTCACATATCAGTGTCTGACATATCGGACTCAGTATTCGGGTCACCTGGTAAAAGCATTTGAATCGTTTCAGGGCAAAATGAGCCTGGTTTGACTCTTTTCTGTACACGTTTCTTGCTGATTAAAATGGTTAATAATGGATCAGAAGTTACAAGAAGTCTGTTGAATATATCTAGGTTGCATTCCTACCTCGAGAACTTTCGTGCATAGTTCTCGCGATATAATCGAAAATGCTTATTTTTAGCTTCTGCTTCCTCTTCCGACAGCTGTCCTATAGTATAGGTAATAAGGCATTTTCGATTATTTCTGCACCGTGAACTAATATTTTATGCATGGTCGGTGTCATAAGGTGCCATCCATACAGATCGACATACAGTTTCGCTGTTGCTTTGGAATAATCATCAAATTGTTGAACGTCAATTTTATGACCACTTGAAATTGTTTCTAATATAATCTTCAGTCTATATATCAATTCAAAATTAACTTTTGTTATATGGGCAGCTAGTTGAGGATTTTCAAAAAATCTTCGGCTAGTATTGCCGTCATTAGTGTTCCCGAAATTGGCTTTTGGCATGTCGATTAACAATTCAGTTTCTTTTCTAAATATTTCCTGGATATATTTTTTGTGAGCACTTCTATCTTCTTTTCTTCGTCAATTCTTTTTTCTCCATACTTTTTTATTGGTAATTTGTATGCCAAATGTAAAACGCTTTCAAGCATTCGGATTCTAGCATGTAATACCGAGAGACCAAATTCAATAGCCTTAGAACTTGTACTTAATTTTTTATTCAGATTGTTAAAGTCTTTAGATGTCGCTCCGCATATATAACACCGACTTGTAGATTTTGTATTAGTTGCAGCATTACAAACCTTGCCATCAATCATGGTCATCTTAAAAACATGATCAAACATGAATGTGTTACCGTTCAAAACAACTTCAGTATGTGTTAAGTTTTTGGCAGATTCTTCAACGTAACTGATCTTCTCGTTCGTTACATCAACTGTTTCTTTCACAAAGCTAAATCGTATAGGTCTACAATATCTAGGCGAGGACGGTATTGGGTTTTGCCAAATTACTTTTTCACCTTTTTTGCCACATACTATTCGAAGTGGAACAAAAGAAGATAGGGATATATGCGCATCCGTAGCAGCGTCATCGTCAAATTTCTGTTTGTATCTGGCTTGTTGAGATCCGTAACAACCCCATTTACAAACAATTTTTAAAGACTTCCTTTCATTGTCATTTAGAGAATAAAGGATTTCTTCTAACCCCACTGATAAGCGGTAAACGGTGTTATCTATTAAACTTTGTAAACTGCTTTCTGCGCAAGTACTTGATACCTTTATGCAATCCGTTGGCGGGTAACATTGTTTTTTTTTTCCTTTAACAGTAAGTCATAGGAAGGATAAAAAGATTTATTTGTATTTCTAATGATTTCATACTGTCGCTTGGTTAAATCAGCTTCAACAAACATTGCTAGGGCTTGCAACGGTGTAGGAGCAGTAATGTTTTCTTTATTTATTTTCCTGAACGTATCTCTATATTTATCTGCACGAGTTGGAGAGTTTGTAATATCTTTTAATATTTTTGAAGCATTTCTTTTTCCTCGATCCTGTAATGTTGATTGGGCTGCATGAACGAGAACTTCTCCATCAAGCGAAGAACGTATTTCTTCTGTTTTTCTCCTTTTCGTTCTTTCACTGGAGTCATTAAATGATTTAGATGTTCGACCTGGTCGCATTTTTTCGTTTTCTACAAGTATAAATGTTCCATCTAACCAAACTCTATTTGTTTGTAAAAATGTAGCCTCTTTTCGGTGGGCCTTTAACCATTTCTCTTTCATGGCCGTTATAAAATGCCGAAATCTTCGCTTTAAACTGGTTAAATTGTCAGATGTGTCACCATAACAGGTCAGTAAGTGATTTTCTAAATATTTCAGTTTATCATCTAAATTAGGCAAATCTTGAAGCTTCATTTGGTCGTAAAGATATTTACGGGTCACTATTTTTATGCCAAAGGCACCAGATGTAACTAAAACAAAGAAAATCGTAACTTGTTACAGTGAATACAATTAAGTACTTTTATTTGTGTAACGTCATCAATAAAACAAAATAAACAAAAACCCCTGTATTTCGGTCATCCGCAGCTAAAT